ACCCTTCTCGTGGTCGTGGTAGAGCTTTTCTTGGTCATTGCAACATGCATCAATGCACTTGCACTCATTGTGGACGTCACATTCACATCGTGGACACATGCTTCATGAAGCACGACTATCCCTCAGGGTATCATTACAAGAGTTATAAGTCCTATATCAAAAATGCGGTTGAATCTTCCTCCACTGACAATAGCCTCGACTCTCAACCTGATTCTCATCAATTTTTTGCTTCCATTCAGAATCAATACAATCAAATCATTCAACTAATTCAACAACATCAACTCTCCCTAACTCTTTCCCAACCTGATGGAACCTCTTTCCCTAATGATATTTCCATCACTACCTCCAAAGATGGTAAGCCACTTGTATCCTGGGTAATCGATACAGGTGTTACTCATCATATCACTCCTAATTTACATAACTTTCAATTTCATTATTTTGTCCCTTCCCTACATATGAAACTCCCTAATGGCACCATTGTTACCACTAATGTTGCTGGAATGGTTCACCTCACTGATTATGTAATATTGTTTAATGTTTACTATATTTTAACGTTTCATGTTAACTTAATCTCAGCTTCTAAACTTATTGATTCATCTACCTGTTCTTTGATTTTTACTAATAAAGATTTTCTCATCTTGCAGAAAAACTCCACGAGGAAGATTGGTTTAGCTGAACGGTATAGAGATCTTTATGTGCTTCACGCTAAGACCATTCCCTCCCAACCCTTACACTCCTTTACTAGTAATATTGTTAGTGATTCTGATAGCAACATATGACATAGGAGCTTAGGCCATCCTTCACACACAGTTCACAAAACTTTGTCTTCCCAATATCTTGTTATTACTTTTTCTATGAATAAAGATTTCCCTTGCCATTTATGTTATTTGTCTAAACAAAAATATCTGCCATATTCTGATAGCATTACTAGTTCTTCCAAACCTTTCAAATCTTACATGCTGACATTTAGGGGCCGTAATAAACCCCCTCCATCAATAATCATAGATATTTTTGTACTCTTTTAGATGACTATAATTGTTTCACTTTGGTTATCTTGATGACCCACAAAATTGAAACGCGTAACCACTTAATAAATTTCATTGCTTACATCAACACTCATTTTTCCACTAATCTTAAATGCTTGCGTAGTGATAATGGTCCCTAATTTCTAATGACTGAATTTTATACAAAAAAGGGCATATTGCAACAACGTTCTTGTGTTGAGTGCCCTCAACAAAATGGTATTGTTAAGCACAAGCATCAACATCTGCTTAACGTTGCCCGGTCCTTATTTTTTCAAGCTAACATTTCTAAGAATCTATGGCATCTGTCTGTTGCTCATGCCACACATTTAATTAATAGATTACCTTCCCCCTTCTTAATAATTGTACTCCCTGTTTTTTATTGTATGCTAAACATCCTAATTATACTAATTTGAAAAGTTTTGGTTACCTAGCTTATACTTCCACCCTAATTTAAAATAGGACTAAATTTGATTATCGTTCTCATCATTGTGTTTTTCTAGGGTATAGGGAAGACACCAAAGGGTACCTCTTATATGACCTAATCACTAACAAACTTATTATTTTCCGTAATGTTACCTTCCATGAATCCATCTACCCCTTCTAAAAAATACATGACTACCAGTATATCCCACCTCCCACTATCTTAAACCCCAATGATACTGACTTAGAACTTATTCATGCCCCTCCTCCCACTCCTAATATCCCTCCAGCCCAACCTCACCCCCTACCTCCCCCAACCCATGTTCTCCATAATCCCCCCACTCTTCCTTCCCCTACCCCAAATATCCCAACACAACCTCTTAAAAGATCCCTTCGCACCATTAAGAAACCCTCATATCTCACAAATTACCATTCTATCTTTGCACACAATCATCCTCCACCCACTTCTATTAAACCAAGTTTCCCTTTATCCGCTGTGCTCCAATATAATAATTGCAATACGAATTTCAAACACTTTTACCTTTCTCTTTCCTCTAACACTGAACCCACCACTTACTCACAAGCGTACAAACACGACTGTTGGGTTAACTCTATGCAGTTTGACTTACACGCACTTGACCTCACCAATACTTGGACCATCGTTGATTTACCGTCTAACAAAACCCTATTTGTTGTAAATGGGTCTATCACATTAAATATCTTTCTAGTGGTAATATTGACATGTATAAGGCTCGGTTGGTTGGGAAAGGCTACACCTAACATGAAGGCATAGATTACTTTGATACATTTTCGCCTGTGGTAAAGTTAACCACTGTAAGAACGCTTCTTTCCCTTGCCTCTGTTAAACGTTGGCATCTAGAACAACTAGATGTCAATAATGTCTTTCTACATGGATAATCAAATGAGGAGGTTTACATGATTATTCCCAAAGGTTACCACCTTCCTCATTCTTCTCTAAACAACAAAGATTGTAAATTGAACAAAAGTTTGTATGGCCTCAAATAGGCCAGCATACAGTGGTACTCTAAATTATCTAATATTTTAATTTCTTTAGGATATCATCATTCTAACGTTGATCAATCTTTATTTATTAAACATGATGCTTCTCACATAATTGTTCGGTTAGTCTACCTAGATGATATTGTTTTAGTAGGTGACAAGTTTGGTGAAATTAGTTGTGTCAAAAAACTGTTCTTCGTCAACAATTTCGTATCAAGGATCTTAGTCCTCTGAGATACTTCCTTGATCTCAAGGTTGCTAGATCCTCCACAGGTATTCTACTCAACCAACATCATTACACTTTAGACTTACTCAACACCACATGTATGTTGGCATCGAAACCATCTTCTACTCCATACAATATTTCTATTAAACTTCATCCCACTGATTTTGCTTCTTTTAAGGATCCTACTCAATATATGCGACTAATTGAAGAATTAATTTATCTAACAACCACCTGTACCGATATTTCATTTGCGGTGTAGCAATTAAGCCAATTTGTCTCTTCCCCCACTACTAATCATTTCAAAGTTGCCACTAGAATATTGCAATATTTAAAGTTTAAACCTGCTCAAAGATTATTTTATCATGTCCATTTTAATTTACATCTTTCTGGTTTTGCAGATAGTGATTGCGCGACTTGCCCGACCACTCGCCACTCAACCACCGAGTTTGCTATCTTTTTAGGCCAATTCCTCATTTCTTGGAAATCCAAAAAGCAAACAACTATCTCCATATCGAGTTCTGAGGTTGAGTATTGTGCTCCTGTTACTCTAACATGCGAAATACAATGGACGCCTTATCTGTTCAACGATCTTGGTGTCACGTTCACCAGCCCAACTTCAATTTACTGCGATAATCGTTATGTTGTGTATCTCACACACAACCCCGCCTTCCATGAAAGACCCAAGCATATAGAAATTGATTGTCGTCTAATTCGAGAAAAACTGGAAACAGACCTCTTCAAACTCTTTCTCATTCCATCTTCTGTGTAACTTACCGACGTCCTCACCAAACCACTTCCAGCTCCTGTTATCTCTACTTTTCTGAGCAACTGAGCAAGCTAGGACTCTTCTCTATCCACCGTCTTGTGGGAGAGTAATAGATACCAAATATTAATTTAATATGATATATCTTTATTTTTTGTACCTTACTAGTTTATAGGGTTCAATTTATTATCGTTACATTCTCTAGACTATATATTTTGTTATTTGGCTGCATGTTGTAACTACATATATTAATATTGTGTAACTTTCTTCTCTTTTCTTAATGTCATTGGAAAATGCCGCTTGGATTTATAGAATCTCAATAATATGAAAAGAAAAAAAAAAACCTCTGTATAAATATTTTGTAGTTAATTTATGATTAAATAGAACCTCTTAAAAAATTATGATTTAACTGAAGCTAACTTCAACTTTTTACACAAGACTTTTTATACAAAATCTCTAAAAACATTATACTTTTTATCATAAATATAAACGCAACTTTTTAAACAATTTTAATTTTAATATTTCTAATGCACCCTTTTATTTATTTTAAAAAAATAAACGAAGATAGTTGAATGAACATTTTCAAAAGACCAAAACCAAGATTTTTAAGCCGACACAAAGGAGCCAGTGAGCAGATTACAAACAGTGGCATTCTTGCACCAAGAAAATTTCTCAAATGGTATCCAAGCCTAGTTTTGGTGACCATTTCCAGAGTTTTTTTATGGGCAGGAGTGACACTTATTCCAGCCAAAATCTATTTCAAAATAGTGGACGAAACGGATACAGATTCTTTGGTTCGAGACTTTTCAAAAGTCGAAGTTCGTACATCAATCTGGGACTGCGAAAGCTAAAAAAATCCATACCTAAATGGAGTTAATTTTGAGTTTATAAAACATTTAGAGAAGACATTGTGAGGATAAAGGATGTTTAGCATTTTAGACTTTACCTTTTCATCGTTCTCTCATGTTAAAATCTATGACTATTCACGAATGTTTTTTTTTTCATCGTTCATCGGCTAAGCAACTTCTGCAAATACTGTTCACAGAGTTCTCTCAAATTGATATTGACAGATACTTTATAAAATCTTAGTTTGTGATGTTCTCCAGATATAACTTTCCAAAGAGATCAGTTACTTTATAAATTCAGCCATAAGAACTATAATTGCCATTGAAAATAAGGTTGGATTTTTAAAAAATCTCAAACTTAACATTTCAACTCCTTATAGTAGAGAAGAGATCTGATACTATACAATAAGGTAGTTACTTAGAATCCCTAAAAAAATAACTTGGATTCACCCCAAACAGGAGAAACTCTTGTTAAAAAGTTAAGAAATTTTTGCAAACAGCGTATATTTCAAGCAAATATGGCCTGGAGATTGACAGCAATATAAATAAGTCAAATTCTACTCCAAAATTGGGAAAATATCCAACAGAAATAAAAATATTTGAAACCAAAAATGGTCTAAATATCCTCATAGCAAAATCAGGCATAGATAAACAACAGAAATGTTTAGAGATAACCTAGATACTTTCAACACTCAACCACATTACATAAACAAGTTGGGCTTCTTGGCCTTGTAAGTGGTCTTGAGCTTCCTGGTTGGTGGTCTGATTTTCTTGAAAACCAATGGGAACTTGATCTTGGAGTTGTGGAATTGTTTGGTGCTTTCCCTCTTGCAGAGGTTAGCTGGGATGGTGGCAGTCTTGATAATCTGAATGCAGGGGAAACGAACCCTGTGGCGTGAAGCCATCTCATTGTACATGAGATCAACAGCACCGTTAAGTGTGGTGTCACGGAACTCCTTGTACATGTTGTGGTAGCCTGTTCTACTCTGGTACCTCAACCAAATACCATAGTTCTTAATCTTGGTTGGGTTCTTCTCATAAATCTGCAAAACAAAAACCATTTGTGAGAAAATGTTGTATATGTGGTTAATCAACAATATTTAACCTCAAAAAATTACTATTACAAAGTCATGCAACAGGAATATATTACTCCCAACTAAATTAAAATATACAGCATATATACAAAGAGCACTTCCAGACACATGTTTAAGATAATAAAACATGTCACTACTATATAGTTTACCATAATAAAACATGTCACTATTATGGAGTTTCTCAACAGTATAAATTAAAAACATGGAAAATCAAATAGTCTAAAGGCAATGGGTAAGAGCACCCTCAAGCAAATAACAAACAGGCGCAGAGGGATATGAAAACATAGTAATCATTTACATTAAGCTTTACTATATATAGTTTGCTTTGTATTGATTAAAAACTACTATTTACAATATATTAACATTCATATACTAAGATGTCGATATTATGAAATGAACAAAGTGGAATACAGCAAAACGGAATGGATCGTAATAAGATTCCATCCCATGGAATTAGGAAACAGAACAAAGCAGTTTATTCATTCCACCAAAATTGGAGAGGAAGATAAATAGTGGCAAGTGATAGAATGGAAAAGATTCCATATGAATCCAATCCACTCCCTCCAATTTCATCTATACAAACAAAGTCTAAAAGAATAGTTTATGCAGAGGTAAATAAACATTCATTCATAAGCTAACACATATACAATAAATTAACATTAAGAAAAAACTGATGACAAACTGAGCAAACAAAAAGCATTACACACATAAGAAAAAAATAAAAATGCTGGTCACATAATGTAATACGCATTTTATTTCAAATGCAAATAAATACAAAAACCGGCATCTACTACATAAATTTAAACTCCTTATCCAATACAAATAAGGAAGCAGAAACTAATTTTATATATATATATATATATATATATATATATATATATATATATATATATATATATATATATATATATATATAAAACAAATTAACAGTCAGGTGAAACTAACGTCCACAACTACGGCGGTAATATCATTTGATTATCAGCGACATTTCTGAGCATACTTTAACATCTCCCGAGACAATTCAGTCATTACCAAAAAATCAAACCCAAATATCAAAAGACATGCAAATCACAGAAAATTATAATCGAGAATTCACCTCGTTGATAGCAAGGATTTGTCCATTGCTCTTCTTCACCTTCTTCAGCTTCCTCAAGAAATACCTAATTAAAATAAATACAAATTACAAAATTTATGATCCTATAAAACAATACATCAGCTGAAATGAAATCTCATACAATTTCAAAGATCTAGCTAAAACAAACGAGGAAGCCAAAAAAAACGAAAATTTAAGCTGAATTGAAAAACAAAAACCTAGGTTAACAAGAAATGAGATCAATCTTGTTTACCAGAACTTGGACTTAGCGCGAACTTCATTGGTAGCCCAAAGCTTCATACGATAAATCTTCGGGTGTTCATCTGACTCCGTAGGGAGAGCCCTCCCAACCACCTGGTATTGATGAAACTGCAAAACCAAAAACAATCAATTCACATAAAACGAACGAATCAACAGAAAAAAGCTTCAATTTTCACAAAAGATTTGACTTTATCTAACCCTGAAAGAAACCATCCTGAGAGAATGGGAAATGATAGGTTTGATCTCTGAGTGTCGCCGGTGGCTCAGTAGAGTGAATGAGGTTTTTGATTGTATAAATATGAATGAAACCCTAATTTCGTTTCGTTATGAAATTGGATTTTGGTTAAAGCCCATATATAAAAGCCCGGTTTAGATTATTTGGACCAGAAAATTTTGAGCCCAAATGAATTGGTTTTTTATTTTTATTTTTATTTAAATATTTATATCCGCACAACTAGAAGTTATTATTAAATAAAAAAATGATGTTTAATATATGCTGTAATTGGGACAAAAAAGCAAATAGTAATCCCATAAATTTAAACTTATATAATAATTGATAAAGTTTAAGATATATTTTAATTCTTATTTTAAAAATATATATAAATAAAGATATTCCAAAACATATTAATTGTAGCATTCAAAGTATTGTGTATATATTTTTTCAGTAATAATATATTCAAATGATTTTTTCTACTTTTTTTGTAGTAATGCAAAAAAATAAGTCAATAAATAAATAATATTTAAAAAATAATAATTAATTTAATAGTAATTAGTATAATACTAGCGTCTAGACGGGCACTCGCGTGTCCGTCTGTCCGCTTTTCTAATTCGCATAAAAATATAAACGATATTTTTTGTTAAAATAATTCTTTTTAAATACAATATGTGAAAGTTAATAATAAGAAGTTATGTGAAAGTCAATAATAAGAAGTTATGTGAAAGTTAATAATAAGAAGTTATGTGAAAATTAATAATAAGAAGTTATTAAGTAAATTACACAATAAAATAAGGATAAAAATAGTAGAAAAATAGGTCACACCAAAACAAAGTATTTCGTTTATATAGTATAGATAATATTTTTTATCAATAAAAATTTGAATCAATTCTTCAAACATCCCTTAATCAACAATTCTTTTAACTTTTTTAAAGAATTATAAAATAAATTATGAAATGTTATATCAAGAGACAAAATACATTTAAAATTATATTATAAAGTATAATATCATTTATTATGACATAAATGCAAAAATATATGCAATATCTAAAAAAATAAAAATATTTTTTATTTTAATGTAGATTTGGTCTAAATTATGTAGATCTAGATATTCAACATATACCCATAAACAAAATATAAAATTAATATATTTATCTCTTCAACTTGGTGATCACTCTCAATAAGAAGAAAAAATTAGGCATCTTCTTAACTTTTTTATTAGTTCACACCCTACTACTATGGAAATTAAAAAATAAAAAGTAAAAAATCTAAAATTGATTAATCCCTTTAAAATGCTCTTGTTAGAAAGAATTTATCTATTTTCCAAAAAAATTGTACTTTTTATTGTTGTTTTCTTTTGTCTCTCATTTGCTAGAAGGTAACTTGTGAGAGATCTCTACTTCATGGTTAGTATGGATGTAGTTTTTCTTCTTAATCAAAAGAGAAAAGAAAAATAAATGATAGGACAAAAATAGAACAATTAACAAGAGATATGGACAATAAATTTAGAGTTGATGGAAGACGACATAAAAATAAAATAACACTGCATAATCTTTTCTTTAAATTGCATATAATTTGTAAACTTCAAAAGCATAATCTTTTCTTTAAATTGTATATAATTTGTAAACTTCAAAATCTATTTTAAAAGAGAAATGATATCTTTACCTCCCATATTACATTTACATCGTATAGTTTTAATATTTTATTATTTGTTTCTCTCTTCTATTTTTAAATTAAAATAAAAAGACAAGTTTGAATGGATATATTATATATTTTAAATATTATAATAATAAATATTGTTTTAAAAATATAATCAATTTTATAATTTTTATTATCTAACATTTTATATTTTATTAATTAATTTTATTTTACTACTAAAAATTACTTTTAATATTGAGAGTTTATTAACCAAATTCATAATTTCATTAATCAATATTTTCTTTTTCATTAACCAACGTTGTTTTACTATTAAGGATTATTTTTAAAATTTTGAACGTTTATTAACCAACTTTAATATTTTATTAATTAATTTTTTACATTGCATTAATCAATTTTATTTTCCTCCTTAAATTCACTATTCACACCCTGTTCATTAACCATATTCTAAACTGTATTGATCAACTTAATACACGTTATTAACCAACTTTAGTTACTGTTAAATGATTACATACATTTATTCATGATTATTCATTAACAATAATCTCAATTGTATTAACCAACTTTTCTCACACTTTAAACCAAAATTATTTATTATTAATTGATTTCATATATTTTTCATAATTATTTTATTAACCATTTTCTGATTAGATGAAAAAGATAAAGTAAAAGTGGAATAAATCAATGTTTTAAAAATTGGACCAGAGATCGAACGGATGAAACTTACAGTTTAAGGTTCAATTGGTTAAACTAGTTAAACACATGGTTGAACCGTTTATTAAATAAACTAATAATATGAAAGTAAATTTCATAGACATGCACGCATTATTATATGTTCTCAACTTAATAAAATAAATATTTCAAAAATTCATTACAAATTTAATACAACAATATCAATAATACATAACATAATATAGTTTACACTTTATTTCAACCATCATTTAAGAATATTTTGACCAAACTAAAGAATTACAATAAAATAAATTAAATTAATTCAAACCAAAATTAAAATAATAGAATATAATAAATAAAATAAAGTTCAAATAATTAAAAATACTTAAATTAAATAAGATAGAATACCAAAATATAAATAATACAGTATACTTCGTTAAATAACAAAAAATTAAATTTGAGTTGAACTACGACAAATAAGTCTTAATTGACAACAACAAACAATATTGAGTTGAACGACAATCAACAGCGTTAGACATCGTAAATATATTTGAAAGAGACGACATGATGATGATGAAATATGGTTAAAAGAAAAATTATAATAGAGTGACAAAACTTAGAAGTTTGTATAGTTGTAAAAAACACACGGAATTTTTTTGTTGTAATTGAGGAGCGTATGTTAAGTTTTGATATTAACACATTAAAAAAAAATTTAAAATTTTAAAAATGGTCAATTTGATGAATTTTTTTGAACTGGACAGTTTTACAAAATCGGCTCCAGTTCTTTGGTTTGAACGATTTTAAACGGTTCAATCTGATTTTTCCGGTTTAACTCCGGTTTTGACCCACTAACAGTTTTGAAAAGTTGACCCAACCGAATTCATCTCCGATTCTCGATCTAACCGGTTAATGTAACACCCTTATTCTACCTCAAAGATATTACGGCAAAATAACACGGATTTCAGAGTAAAATATTAACTTTCATTAAAAAGCCACAAAAGGGCGTACATTTCTCAAAGTCAACAAAATTGGTCAATACTCCGTAACACACGGGTTTTCTCAAAATACATCAAAACATCATATACAACGAAACTCAAAACATAACTCAATGTTTTCCTCATAAGGGAACATCAGTAAAATAACCCAATGATATACAATCATCTCAAAGAATCCAACCCGATGTTACATATCATAGCAAGACCCTCTAAATTAACCATAAAGGCTAACGACTCTAAAACTTCAAAATACTCTTCGATGGCGTCCACGGCTAAACTTGCTCATCTGCATGTTACCCCACGTGGAGGTAACATTCAAACAGGCAGGGTGAGTAAGACAATTCATAATAATCAATGTATAACAATTAATTCATAAACGGCATATTACTCATAATTATATTCAACACATTGATATCCTTCAAATATGCCTCAAAGGCCATAACGTCATAAGTTATACACAAGGCTCACAAATGCAAATGCAACATAGACTCAATGCATGTGGTACCAATCATCACAGCGCGATGGACACTGGACCATCAACCCTTCATAGATCCCCATCAATAGGATCGATTCTACTAGAGAACCGGAGCACATCATAATACTTCACATCCGCACAGTGGGATTGAAGACAAAGTAATCGAGGTCCTGAACCGAAGTCTAGATGCACATGAATGCATGATACACACGTCACAAATCATCCTCATAATAACATTGTAGGTGCATCATCATTCATCATATTCGTCATATTCATCATATTCGTCATGTTCATCATATTCATCATCATCAAACGTCATAGCTCATCAACACAGTCATTATCGTACCTTACGTCATCATAACTCGTTATAATAATCATCTTCATACTTCATAGCTTATCATAATAATCATCATCACCACATAAATCATCGTATCTCACATAACTCATCATAATAATCATCGTCGTCACATAAATCATCATATCTCATGTTATCACATAATTCATCATAATAATCATCATCATCACATAAATCATCATAATTCATCATCTTAATCATTATACTGCATATCATCGTATTGCATATCATCATAATTCATCATATCAATTAATCTCACACATCATGTCATCATATAATCACGTATAAATCACATATTAACTCAGTCATATTATCCCATATCAATTCATAATACTACCCCCATATCATCTCATATTAATTTATCAATTATACTCGCGGTAATCCTCACACTATCGCTTATCAATCACATAAACTTCACAGTTCTACTCATGTTAATTTGTTATATCATCACATAGTATTTACATATTAATCCATAATATCAGCTCACATTGCCTCATATTAATTCATCATAATTACACTCGCGGTAATTCTCATACTAGCACTTATTACTCACGCAACCTCACTGTCATACTCATATTAATTCATCATATTATACTCACGGTAGTTCTCATACTATCACCTATTAATCACATAAAATTCATAGTCCTACTCATGTTAATTCATCAGGAAAATCGCAGCATCAAAACATTAAGACATCACTGAACCAAAACATGATTCATTAATAGGACATATACACAATTGACTTCTCAAACATAATTAGATATAAAAATATTGGGAAACCAATTCCATTATCTATACTATGTTATAGCCCTGTTCATTAGCTTTTAAACGCTTCGAACGGGAGTC